AGTGACAGAAGAAGATGTCCAGTTCTCAGAAAGGTCATGGGCTCCATTGAAGAAGTCCTGTAGCAGATCATCGTTAATAAAATTAGGCAAGGGACGCTTGCTCATGCCGATGGATTGCTTCCGCCACCATGCTTTCAGTCCGGACACACGAATGCTCTGGTCCTAATTTGATCATGTTTCAACTACACCATATCTGTGGTTGCTTTAGCTTTGCCAAACCCGAAACTTAAACAGGGCGGAGGGGGATACCCTGAACCCTAAACCCCAAAACAAATTCTTAAACTCTTAACTCTGCCCACAAGTGCTGGCTGCAAGACCAGCAACCCTAATACAAGTGCTATACCCTCAACTCGAGAACAAGTGAGGGTGGGAAAGCAGAAGCCGTGTTAAAACAGAGAAGCACGAAACCGCAAACCAAAAAGCAGCCTGAGTGGAGCTTTGCTGCAAAGCGCTAAGCAGGGCGTGAAATCCTAAACACGAAACCCCGTGTATCAACTGCAAATCCTGGGGTGGCAACATAAGCCGAGTGTAGGAATTGGAAAAGGGCACCGCCCTAAACTCGGAAGTAGCAACGCTTGGACCGCGAACGCCGGACCCACTCAAGTGTCTTGGAACGCTGGAAGAATCTGTACAAGGTTCTGCCATGGCTTCTAAGCCGCTAAGCCTGCCTCCGGGGCGACTGGCTTCTGCGGCACGCGTGCGGGAACGAAGACCTCGACTCGTCACCACTGGCTACGACTTTGAGCCATACTCTTGCGCATACTATTCTATGCTACGAGAACAGTGCCAGGAAGGGCCACCAGAACCGGAACGCAGACAACCGAAGGAAAGAGAGTCTGAGGCTGCCACAGGCGCTGAGGGAGGCGAGATGCTGCTCCGCGGTCCGTTAGATGCCTCACGGCGATGCTTTGAGCATTAGGTTTTCAGGTTTAGGGTAAAGATTTTTTTGTTTTTTTTGAGGGCCTTTTGGATGACTGCATGAGCGGCTCCCCAACTCTTAGGGTAAAGTTTAGGGTTTAAGGTTTCCCGTTTGAAGCAAAGTTTCAGGTTTAAAGTTTAAGGCTCTTCGGTGATCCATACAAGCCCACCAGACATTCATGCATGGTCCTATCGACATTGCCGCGCCTCCACCGAGAAGATGTACGTACGATTCGGATCCACCTCAGCAGGAAGCTTGGTCTAGCATCCGCCTTGATCTTATATCAACGTCTGTCGTACGATGTAAGTATTTTCCTTGTGGCTACCGCTGCCATTGTTCAATTTTCCAGCTCAAGCTCGGTGCTCTGTTTCTAAAGCGCGCCAAAATGACGAAACAAAACTCAGCACAGTGCAAGCTAAAGCTCGCCAATTCCAGCTGCAGCCGAAGCACCGCTATGTGACAGGAGCACAGGCTGCCCGGCGGCGGAAAGTGTTGACTGCGCAGGCTGTCGAAGGAACTGTGAGAAGTTGCAAGCTAACCGCACTGCAGACTTCTGAGATCCCTGAGTCACTGTTTTTTCTGCGACGGCTGCTGCCATTCTGGGAACCGTACACACCCTAAGCTTGCTTGCCTAGGTGATCCAAGCTCCGACATTGGGTCGCAACCCTGGAATCTCTGCCGTGGGCCATCTTGTGGCATAGTGGGTTGCATGGGTGTGGCGAAGACTTGTCGTGTGAGTGAGACGAAAACGGTCGCCACTCTAAGGCCAGCGATGCCCAGCTGCCGTCCAAAGAACTTGCTTGGGCCTGGGAATGTGGCTTTGAGAGAGACCCCCTCCCAGGAAAATACGGTGACTCTTGCTCTGCGTGGGAGATTCGCTCAGTCCAACCCATCTAAGAATGGGCTGGGGCTGCTATGGCAAGGCCACCGTTTCTCCTGAGATTTCTCCTACCCTACACATCCGCAGCTGGTCACACCTCACTGCTGCGGCAGGACGAAGACGTGGACATGTAGGTCATAACCTTCATGTGCATCCAGAGTCTTTGGTACTGCTCAAACATGTCGACACGCTTTATTTAAGTTTAGGTCTGAAACAGTTCTTACCTTTGAAGCCATCTCCCTGTGCATCGGTTATTGCATACTCTTTCTCGTGCAATACTTACTTGATCTGCATACTCACATACTCGCACGCACAGCCTGGCGCGAAGTTCAGGTTGTCCAATCGGTTTGTGACGGCCCACTGCGTCCGAAGCAAGATTCCCGTCGCAGGTATGCTTTCACAGGATGGGGAAGGGTCTTTTCCTCGATGGACACCTGCTACGCCCTTCCTGACCACAGTTATTCGGCGCCCAATGAAAACAATGAAACGACTGTTAAAGCGACATTGGTCCAGATGATATGACTGCAAAGTAAGGTTCGCATGAGTTCAGTTCTTCCTGTTGCAAGCGGACTGCTCCATACACCCACACATGCATGCATGCACACGAGGGCTGCATCATGCCTGTGCATTCGTCGACATGCATGCGGAAACAGTTGCAGCTCAGGCACAGTTCATTGTCAAGCCTGCGCTCTACTGCTGCGCACAAAGTCCTGAGCTGCAAGCTGATCATCCGCCTATGCTAGTCAGCCATTTCCTTCTTCTTCTTCTGCAGTCACATCCGATTCTGCTGATCAAATGCCCCGCGACTACGTATACATAGATTATATTGAACAACCCCCGTACATCAAGCGCAATTGCCACGAGATGTGATGCAGCAAGGCCACGACAAATTCGTCGAGAATCACTGGCCATGCACCATTTTGTAGATCGTAGTCCTCGGATTGTGGCACCGACTGTTTACCCGTGTGCAAGAACTAGACCTGCCTGCGGACAGCGAGTCGCCACAGCTCAAATCAGGAGCGAGTGTCTGATAAATCCGGCTTGACCTGCGTCGCCAGGTCAAACAACATCATCCACGTGTCCTTGCGAACCGGTCGGCAAGGCTGCACACAGACATGCTTGACTCGAGTGCTCAACACTGAAGCGGGAAGCCTGATTCACACACTTTTTTTCTTCGAAGGTGGCGTGTCTCCCGAAACGATGGAAAAAGACCCGTAAGCGAAAAGGAAGAAATCTGTACGTTGACAAAAGTGGCGAGGGCGGGAATCAAAATCTCTCCTCGACTTGGTCCTGCGCGGCGATAGGAACCATCGCTGCTACCAAGTCGAGACTCCTCTCGAATGCATGTCCCTTGGCACCTACACTACAGTGTATCACGGCATGTTTCGCTCGAGTGCTCACCACGGAAACGGAAAGTTTGCGCTCACACAGTCTTTTCCTCCTCGAAGATGGCGTGTCTCGCGTCTGAGATCCGAGGTGTCGCCATGGGTGGACTGCCTCACCCCATGGCGGCCTCACCCCATCAGACTGCAAGGCCTGAACCCGGTGCCAAATTCAGCAATATAGCCTCAAGCTCTCGGCAATCGTTGAGCAGCTTTCGCCAAGAAGGCTGGGCAACGCTGAAGTCAGCTCTGGAAATGGGGTCGGCAATGTTCAATGATCTGGTCTGGGGAGCAACGAGTGCATGCGCGAAGAGCCGGGCCCAGAGCATCTCGCTGTCTCGCTGAGTGCGACAGAAATGGGATCACCCAACAGCCCAGCCGCAGGATGTGCGCCAATGCGCGATGTCATTCGTCTTCTCGGGCGCCCCGATCTCATGGGCGACCTTGCTTCGAGGCTGCGTGAACATGCGCAGCTCGGCCTGGACCTGTGACGCAGACACGGCTCCCTCCGGCTTCTCGTCGGCTTCCTCTGTGAGGTCAAGAACGGCGGGCTCAATCCGAGGCGGGGCTGGGCTGCCGACCTGCGGTGAGGCGTGCTCCCCCTGAGCAGCCGGTCTCCCCCCGAGGCCGGGGCCACTGCCCAAGGTCCCGGCCGCTCCCCGTGCCCTGGCTTCTCGAACGGCCTCGGCACCAGTGGCACGTAGCGGTCAATGGCGCAACTGTTCCATCTCCCTTGAAGTTGAACCATCGGCACGCCCAGGCCCACGGACGCGAGAAATTGGGTTCCACTAACCCTCACGACGTGCCCGTGAAGTCGGGACCTCTCTGCCGCACTCGTCAGGACGGGTGAGCGGGATGTCAGCAGCAGTCAATACACGCGCAAAAATGCGTACGACCTCACTCTTGGAGAGGGGCCCGCCATCCGCTGCAAGAACAAGGTATCACACCTGTGTCCCAGTCTGGCGCAGGAGGTACAGTCGACATAGTTGAGGATCTGCAGCGTGCCATGGGTATGGTCGTTCGGAGCGAGCCCGACAGATGCAAGTGCACGACCGCACCGTCAGTTGGCCTTGAGTATCCGCCTTGGATGGGAACCAGGAAGTGAACATGGAAATGCCGATCCCCGCTGGGATAAAGGTGATGGGCCCTGGCATTGGACACCTCAATCTCCCGCAACATCCACCACCCGGCTACGAGGGCGAGGTCAATCTCGGCATCAAGCTGTCCCACATGAAGCTCCGACCTCTGACGGGTGTAGGGAACGATGGGCGGCACGAGCTTCATGTCGAAGCTCTCCGTGACGGGCCAAGACCGCGCTTGATCGCTCGCACCGTGTCCCTGATGGCCCAGTGAACACCCTCTCCCACAGGTGTGCCGGTTGTGCGCAGCTGGTGCCCAACAGCCGCCCCTAAGTACAAGGAGCACGCGTAGTAGCCACCCTCCGTCAAGCTGGCTCCCACGCACTTGACTAGGTCCACGGTGACAGGGAAAGGCTGGTGCGTCGCCAGGCTCAACAAAGTTCCTGCCACAACCTATAACTCTGCTGTCCGCTAAGGACATGGTCGTGGCCGCCAACACGTCGGCCTGCAACGCGTGGAATGCCGCCTATCGCTTCTCAGGCTGCGCGGCCTCGACAGCGGCGGCCCAAGACGCTCGTTTGCGCAGGCGAGCCTGCGGATGATCAGCCCTACCTCCGGACAGGGCCTGTCCGACCTGGAGACTGCCCAAGATCACTGCTTCCAGTTGCCAAGCCGGCACGCCTGCAGCCAACAGTGCTGGAGTGATCGGCGCTATGGCCTGCAGCCCGGTGGCCGGCAATCTATCCCAAAGATCTAGAGCCATAATGCTGCTCGACTGCCCGGTGAGGGGCAAAACCAACCAAATCAAAGGCTCGCTCCAAAGGCCCGCGCGGGCGGCACAAGAGCAGGAGGTTAGGTATACTGCGCATGAGCTTGACATGCTCTACGGGACACGGCTGCTTCCAGTCCTGAAAAGCGAGGACACCAAGAGCGCCTGTTCGGAGAACCCCTGTGCCCACTGGCTCCGAAGCCCCAACATGTAAAGCTGTCAAAGCATGGAGCGCGGGACGCAGCATCAAGCGGCCCCTAGCCGACAAGGCTGAATCCAACTGGAGAAGACCATGCCTGCACTCCTTGAACATGTAGTCATAGGCATACTCCAGTTCAAGACTGTAGAAAAAGCCTAGAGTAGCGTGCGAAGAGTCTCCCTGTGCATAAGGCATAAGCCAAATCCAAGCGCACCAGATGTCACCGACATGGGCTGGCACGAGTCCTAATCAAAATCTCTCCTCGACTTGGTCGCGTGCTGCGATACGAACCATCACTGTTACTAAGTCGAGACTCTCGAATGCATGTCCCTTGGCACCTACGGTGCTTCACGACAAAATCCGTGGTCTTACAGTGTCGGCGCCGCAACATGAGAGTTATGCAGCCAAGCGTCTTTCGACACGTGGTTCTTCACATTTTGCCTCTCAACATGGACCAGGTTGAGCAGAGACACCAATGCACCCAAAGGCTTCCAGCACACCATTGCCCCTTGCGCCGTGCGGCTCAACTTGTAACAACCTTTCGACCGAGATGCTCCACCCAACTGATCCAGGTCTCGAGCAACGAGAAATGTGCCGGCAGCAAGAGCTTCCAAAACTCTATGCACATATCGACGGGAAGGCAACCTCAGAGCATCGCACACGACTGTCACATCGTGATCGATCGCACCCGTGATCGAACGCTGCCAACGCGATTCCCTTTGAGATCCTTGCGTTGGCCTGCCAGATACAGGGTTTTGCAAGCTCTCGCTGCACGTGAACAGTTGCGCCCGCAGATTTGCAAAATGCATCCGGCATCGCACTGCGATAATTCACTGCAGAACATTCGCTGACGTGCCTTGATCTAGAGCGAACTGAAACGTAAATGCATAGACCTGAACGGCCAAGGATGCTGAGTCGCTGACAGGTCCGAATTTAACATGCTTGAAACCGGCAAAGTGATATCTGGAAAGCTTGAGTTGTGGCCATTGAACGAGCGGCGCACATGCAATCTGAAAGCTGAAAGCTGTGCAAGCAGCAACGCAAAGCATCGTCTCAATAATCTTTCATGGTGCCACCTCTTTGCAAGCTCCGCGATCTTGGAGAGCCTCCAATCGTGTTGGCTTGACACAATAACAGAAAGTCGCAGTAAGCTACGACACAGCATCTGCAAATTTCTGCTGCTGCTGGACCCCACATCTTGAACTATCGGTCAAAGAGCCTCAAAACCCGCCATGTGAAACAGACCCTCCAAGGCAGTTATTCTCAACACTCCATGGAACCCCAGGTCGCGACGCAGAGGTCTGAGCTAATGCCCCGGACTGTCCTGCTGCATCTCTGGCAGCTTAGCACGGAGCTTCGGCAACTCGTCGGATCCGAGGCGCTGCATGCCAGTCTGAAACCTGACATGCTCAGCTCTCAGTGTTGCGCAGAACCCTCGGTCATGCATGCAGGCTCAGCTGTGCAAGGGGAGACGGTGGGAGAGCAGAGCAGGGCCAGGGTACATCCGCAAAGGGGTCAGGGAAGCACACAAAATCACCAGTCGGCAAACACATGCGTCTCAGTCTCAGGTGACTAAGTTGCAGACTCCTCCCTGCTGAAGACACCCATCCTGGTTGGCCACAGCTGTACATTGACATGCTGAGCGTGACTCGATCCTGATGTGTGTTGACTGAAGGTTTTGCATGGGAGGCTTCGCTTCATGTGATCTCAACTCGGGTGACCTAGAGCATGCCGTCTACACTAGAGTCTACACACATCCAAAGCTCTGGAATGATTTTCAAGTCGCTGAAGATCGCTAAGCTCATGTCAAGGAGCTGCTGTGCCCGGCAGTGCCAAGCAAGAACCAACGTCACGGGATCAAGGGTCGAGATGCCCAGATCAGCGCAGAGCTCCTGAAGTGCGGATGGCAGCATCCAAGCAACCTTGAGCGGCGAACCCTGCATGGCATCGTAGCGAACATGCAAAAACACTGACCGTTGTTTCTGACGCTGCTTCATGGAGTTTCGGTGGTCAGTCAAGCTAGCTGAGTCTCCTCGATGCCTTCGGGTCTAATCGTCTGGTCCTGCAGCTGTGGACGGGAATCTCACGGGAAGTTTGTGGGCTCAGGGCCGCAAGGGTCGAGGACGGCCACACAGCATTTCAGAAAAAACAGCCTCCGTGGAAGCGTACTTCCTGAAGAACGCATCCAGCTTCCTGAGATGCCCGGGTCTTCGGCATACAGGACCCGGTCATGCGACAAAACGACATTGAGAAGTTCTGACGCGCAACCCCGGCTATCTTACCCAAACAAGGTGTGAACTCCATTACATGTGGGCAAACTGGGTAATTTGGCAGTAATTCGGTGAGTTCTTCGGTTTCGCTGCACTCCACCATCTTGGATGCCGGGCTAAAGTATTTGAGAGCTATCTGCGGCAGGGCTTCGGGGTGCATGCAGCCCCTGCGCCGTTGGGCAAAAAATGCGCCAACTGTATGTGTGAACTCCACGTAGTACTTGCAACTTGCAACCGACCAGAAGCTGACAAGGCTCTTGGCATCCAGCTGCTCTTGCGGGGCAGCACCGAAAGAGTTGCCTTCTGCGAAGAAGACATCCAGCGCTTGGTCCAGGGACCAATTGAGGCCTGGACTAGGCTGAAGGCTCACCGACACTGCGTGGCGATGCGTCAGAAACTTCGTAGCTTGCCCAAAACCCCAACAACAAAAACTGTTCTCAGCAACTGAGGGAGGTGCGTCGGAGAAACTCCTTGCCGGCAGGCAAACCACGTGACATCTTTACCACCCAATAGCTCTGATAATGTGGAAATCACTGCCAGTCTAGATGTCCACGTTTTGACCGATGCTCGCGCAATGCAGCCCCTGAAGACATTCTCTGGTTTGCTGCGAGGCGGCCATGGCTAATCTCTGGGGAGCCCCCGTGATCTGCTGGAAGTTCGCAAGCTTTTCCCCTTTCAGTCAGAACTTTCAAGCAGGGACAAAGGACGACAGTCAAAGGGAAGCGGGGCACCAAGGCAAATCTGACGACTTTCCTTCACAGGCGCACTTGCGACCTGCGACTTCCTGTGACAGCAAAATGTAGCCATGGCACGCTGCGAGCGGTTGAGCCCGCTCAAGTTGCCTGACCTGGGTAGAGGCGCAAGCCTACCCAAACACCCCCTGCAGCAGCTGTAACAAGCCACATGGAGCTGCAGCACGAATCGAGTAACGCAGGTTCAGCTGGGACCGACATCTCGGGCGCCCACATACCAGGCGGACCACCCCGCTACGGCCTCCTGGCCTTCTTGGCACGCCCGCAGCTTGCTATGAGCTACGAACCAAACCCTATGACTCGAGCCCAGAGCCATCATGGCGTGCATGCCGTCGTAAATGTTCGGGCCATACTTAGTTACTTGGCAGTGTAGATAAGCCTAGTGTGTGGAGCTTCCGTCTGGCAGGCAGGCGCCTGGAGACCTCTGCACACCAGGACATGGAAGATGCCATGACCTGCAGCACCAGCGGATTGCCCTTGTTCAATCGTGACCGCTTTCCTAGGCTGTATCCCGGGCATGTGCCGGCCTGGATGGATCGGAGGATGGCCCCTGGCGTCGCAGAAAGCACAACCGTGTGGGTACTGGGCCGTTTGACCTGTTTCAAAGCATTGCAATTCAGCAATGGTTTCGACTCGGGGATCTAGCGACCGCGGGCGCAGTCGTCAAAGTTCTTGCGTGGGGCAGGCAAAAGGTTCAGCCCGAGGCTCCGAAGCATAAACAAAGGTGATCCTGCCACGACCAAGCCCAAACCCCGTTCAAGCCTGAGCTCGAAAGCTGCCAAGACATAAGAACTGACTGACTGCTGCGATCTCAAATGCGGTTTAGCCGTTCTGGCACACCTTCATGGCTACTCGGCTACTCAGCACAGATGCCGTGGAATGCGAACCCTGACAGCTCATCAAGCGGCAATCTTCCGGCTGGAACACCTGACTTGGGAAGGCTCTCGGTCGCATCTTCAACATCTGGAGCATCCTCGGGGCAGGGGACCCAGATGTCGAGAAAAACATTGTGATCGCCACAATCCATTCAACTGTCCTGACCTTCCAGACAAACGATGTCCCCAGTTTTCCCAGAACAGACTGGCAGAAGATGCAGAGTTGTGGCATGAACTGACGACGCGTGGAAAGGGATGCTGCATGATGCACCACACTGTCATATCAACAAATTTCAGAAACGTTGATCTGCACCTGTGCAGTCTGCTATTCACTGACACGATGGCTTCTTGGTACCCCCCCCCCCCCGTCCTCGCAAAGCTCTTCTTCCCCGTGGATCGTGTAAACTTGCACCGGCTGTCCCCCGTCGGAGGCCGGAGATATGAACCTGGGTCGTTCAAGCAACAAGATCCTGAGTCTTGAACCGAGGGGCTGGGGGGGTTGCAGCTCGTGTGCTGCAAACTCGACTTGCAGCTCAAAGGGTGAACTCTTGCCACATGCACACAAGAACAATCCTTCGTATCCATAAAGGATCTTAAAGGTTAGATAGGTCTTGAAATGGGCCAAGCTCGCCTTACGCCTTAGGAGTCCGGCTCCAATTTCACCACATCCAGGTCCGGACTCGCCGGGCCTGCAGAGGAGCCAAAACACTTGGATCAGAGAGGCGGACAGTGCTGTTCACTTACCTTGCTGAACTTGTCACCGCGGCTTTCCAGAACTCCAAGCGCTTCCGATTCATGGAGAATCGGCCTTCGCCAGCGATGCAGATGCAGCCCTGGCTGGTCCTCGCCCATCCTGCGTTTGTGCTTCCAGTGACATCTGAGTTCGATCATGGCGAAAACGCCGACTGCACCTTGGTATCAACCGAAACCCAAATCCCTAGCTGCACTCCAAAATGCATCCAAACATCATCCAAGTCCACACCTTCAGCCGAGGACAAAACCCGAAAGCCTGGCATCAGCCGTGCACGGAGCTGTGAGGGAGCTGCAGGCGCGGCGCATGCGGTTGAGACCTGTCTCCACTTTGTCGCTGCGTCTGGTATTGGCCTTCCGTAGTTACCCTGGATGGATGGCGAGAAAACGAGACAAGCCTGTGGCTTGGTCTCGGTCTTTCCAGTCTTGGCCTGCGTGGCTTTGCCTGGCCTCGATCGTGGACAGGGCACCGCTCACACCAGCAGCAACGGCGCAGACCTGCCGAAGAGAAACTGCCGATGGCGAGCAAGCGAAGAAAGCAAGCTGAAAGATTCGAAGCTCAGCAGAAAGTCCCACCTCCACTGTGTAATCTGAACCCGGCGCCAGCCCGGAGAAGCACTGTTGTGTGCTGTGGCACCTGCTGATTTCAGTGCCAGCGTCCAGAAAAATTCATTGTTGGGGCTGTTGGGGGCTCCTCCCTATCTGCATCACTTGAGCTTCCCATTACATAAAGCAATGCCGAAGAAACCGTTTCCTAAGAGCCCCGGAGCACTGCAAATCCAAGCACCCCTCCGAGAAGCTGAGCTCCCGGCAGTATCGTGTTCTTGCCATTGGCGAGGCGCACCTGCTCGGCAGACTCGGATGGCAGATGCTCGCAGCCGTACAGTACCATGTTCATGGAAAAGATTCAACTGGCAAAAAACGGCACTTCTTACGGTACCTCCAGCCTCACCTGCCTTCCCCCCAACCGGCCTGGGCCCTCTCGGCAGGCACCCCCTGAGCACGGTACAATGGAAGACTCATCGCTTCAAGCAAAAAGTGGGATCCCGGTCTGAAAACCTTGAACGAGGTACCATTGCAGCTTTGAAGAAGGTCTGCTCCTCGTATCGGCAATCTCAATCTTCCTAGGTCCTAGGTCCTAGAGGAACGATGGACCATCTGAGAATATCAAGCTCGGAATCTCGCTTGACGGGCATTCGCCAAACCCCGCCTCGTCCTTCTGCGAACTGTTCAACAAGTGCACCTTCATGGAGCTGCCAGTGCAAGCTTTCAAAGGCACTTCTCATAAACTCTCCGCAAGCATCGCCACAGCCAGTCTAGGCAACTCCTGGGATTCACCGGGGGGAGGGAAAGTAACAGCTTGTAGAGATTGCATCAGCGACCTGCCGTACAACGACAACCCGACGAAACGAAGCTGCCGTCTGTGTGCATGTGTGGCAGACTGGAGGAGTGGCCCAAAACCAAGACGATGCATGATCCTATGTCCATCCCATCTCGAAGCTTCGTGCCCGGCATCTTGCTTCTGTCAAAGTATGTCGTTCTTCCGTGCCTCGTAAACTTCGACCGGATTGCCTCCATCATCTCCAGGTGGTTGCCACTCCACCGTGAACTTAGCAGGCGCATGGCGAACGCAGTCTCGCTGCAATACGGTCGGAATGGCGATGCTGGGGTGCTAACCCCGTCAGCACGTGGTTCGCCCACGAGTCGCAAGCAAACCTCTGTGAGACACGCACAGGTGGAATCAGCAAGCACCTATTTTCCGTGGCATACACAAACTCAGAGCAATAAAGCGTGCTGTCGGTGTGTCCAAGGGCAGCTGGGGGCCCGGGCCACGGGCGAGGGTGGCTCAGCGGGCGTGCAGAAAGGCTCGGACATGCCGGGCTCGGTCAGTTGAGGCCTGAGCCGAGCAAGGACAACCGACAAGTCTGCATGCACGGCGCATGCAAGTGTGCACATTCATGTGTACATCTCTATTCATACTCGACCAGGCATAAGCCCCTATATAAATGTATGTTTGTATATATATATATACATACATACATACATACATACATATATATATATATGGGGCTACTTGTACCATGTGTATATGTGTATGTGTATGTATGTATGTATGTATGTATGTATGTATGTATGTATGTATATGGTGTCTGTGTAAGTATGTGTATATGTATATGTAGTTGTATGTGTATATGTATATGTCTATGTATTATGTACGAGTATACACACGTATATACTCATGTAATTATCATATACTGCATGTATCTATATATATATACATACATATATATATTATATATATATATAGATGTTCATATGTAATATGCATGCATATTTTTGTCTATACATACCCAAGTTGCTGATTCTCGCTTTGTGCACGCATCCGGAAAGATTGGTACTGGCACAGACATCTCTCGACATAAATGACATAAATTAACACAAATAGATGTTTTGACAAATAAACAGAAACAGCCCAACAAGGAAAAACAAAGCTAGACAGATAGAAACCAATATGTAATGAGCGATGAAAACAAAGATGCACCATCTGACTGGTTTGATCCCGATTTGGTTGGAATGCATTGTGCCGGCCTAATCAAACACGCTAAACCCTAAACCGAGACCAGCCGAAAACCCCAACCCCTGCACATGCACACGGAAAGCCCCACAAACAACGCAAAGGAAAAAGCGCTAAACCCCAAATCAGCTTCAAACCCTAAACCCCAGCCTCAAAAAAGAAACAACGAACGTCGCTTTTTTCCGCCACCCTGCGCGAAACCTCTACAGGACCCTAAATCCGGCACGCGCCGTGCACAAGCCCTAACCCGTAAACGGCCGGCCACATCAAGCCAAGCCAAGCCCCAAGCCGTTTATCAGAACTCGTGTCTCCCTCGCGAATACTATAGAACACGCTGTCTACCCAAAAACCCTGCAGCCACCATGCTTTCGCCCTAACTCCAGATCGGGTAGCATTGTCGTTCCCAAGGATGTCTGGAAAGTGTTTGATCGGATCCTCTTCAATTTTTCGCGCTGATGCTTTACTATGGGTGCGTGGAAAGAGCCTGCTCGGATCCATGTCCCGGGCTTGATTTACAGCGTCAGCGTTTCTGACTAGGTTTAACAGAATGTGTACATGTAGCACATGTCGCTGTGTGTTGTACATCTGTCTACATGCGCATGCGTATGTCTGTGTTCCTTGCTTTGTATGTTTGCACATACCTGTAGAGACCTGTGTAATTATGCAGCTATGAGTCTAAGTCTAGAACACATAGGACGAGTAAGTCCGCTTGTTCGAGGTATGTATAGTCTTTATGGCGCATAGCATAGCAAAGCATGCAATGTGATGTTTCTTCCGCGGGAGCACGAGACTCTCTGTCAGCACAACGTCACGCCTATGGTGTGCATTGGAGATAATCGATGCCAATCGTGGGCACATCAGTTGCAACACGATAATGATGTAAGCCCAGTGGACACAGAGCAGCGAGAAGCTACTTCGAGTACAGCCACACTCCCAGCGTAGAAGACAGGGGTGGGCAGGGTGGGCCGAAGACCTGAAGAAGCTGCCGCAAGGGACAGCTTAAGCCAGAGGCTTCGTACAATGAGCCTTCTAGACCCAAACCAACCAGGCCATGCTACAGAAGGGAATCAATAGGTACCGGAATACATGGGCAGTACATTGGCAGGCAGCTGCGGAAGTAACTGGACGCATAGAAAGGCTATGACGTGGGATGCCAAGCATTAGGTCGTGGACCTTAGGGTTTTAGGGACGTCCAGTCTCGACTTTGACCCGCCCGAATTCCGAGTCACGGAAAGCTGAAGGCCCGAACCGATCTGCCGGACCGCTCTCAAGCACCACCTTGGCTGCTCTGCTTGAAGCTTTTGCTGTAGGAGAGGAGGAACCCTGATGATAAGTGCTCAGAGGCTGCACTCCAGATGCTTCATTTAAGGCCCTGGAGACGAGGCCGGGAGCAAGCTCCGAGCTCCGTGCCTGTGCCCTGAAGGGGCCAGCCGACTTGGGGAGGCTGCCTCGGGCCAGGGCAGCAAGGTCTTGACACTGTGTCACATGGAGTCAAATGAGTCAACCTGCCACGAAGTCTTCGGATCGCACGGAGGGTGGCCAGTGGGTGTCTTCTTTATGATGAACCCTAACAACATGCTTTGGAATGGCCACAGATCGAGTCATGATCGGCTTCTGGCTCAGGTCCGACATTTGAGCATGGGTTCTTCAAGGGTTTGCACACTGGCCAAACCACATCCTTTGCTGGGCTACAGACCCCACCCGTCCTACCGGCGCTGTAAGTCCGCTTCAGCGCATAATTACTGTTGGAGTCCTGTCCGAATCGTGTGCGGCGCTTGCTCCAGACCTTTCTCTGTCAAGCCAATCTAAAACCATGTGCTTTGGAAGAGATGGCTGTCAAAAAACTTGCCGAGACCTCCGTAGTCTTATAGTGCCAACACATGACGTTTCCAGAACCCAGACGAGGTCATCAAAACCCATGCTGCTTCTCGCGTTCCGAAGACGAATTCGGAGGGTGGCTGCATGCAAGTGCTGGGCTGCCCTTGCGTTGCATCGACGGCAGGCTTGGTCTGCAACCGGGTGGCACCCCAAAGCAACTGGTTACCGCGGAACATCCTAAAAACCCCTGGCAAAAACCTACATGTAGTAGGCGGAAACCGCGAAAGCCCGTTTGTGGCACTTCGACTCGCCTGTGGGCAGCTCGAAGGACGCTGTGTCCCCGGAGGCCTATGCATTAGAGCAGCGGGCTCAGGGAGTTGCAGTGCTTTGTGCGAACGGCCCAACGGTCCGGTGCTGTTTGGCCGGAGCCACCAACCGCGGACCACACTTGAATTGCTTTCTTCCTCACTGCGTGGCCTCGAAGAAGGCAAAGGGAAGAGAGCTGCCTGCCACAGGATGGGCAACATGATCAAAACGCCTGCAACTAGCTCATTTTCCGGACATGCAATACATACATAGAAATGACGAGGCAAGACATGCACAGCTGTATGTGCGTTTATGCAGATGTTGCTTGCGACAAAACCAGCACAACTAGCTCTGGAAGTGCCTTCCTGCTCTGTGGCAACTAGATTCTCCAAGCCGACGCCTGCTACCGCATAGCTGCATAACCTCTGGAACCGCGCAGCATGACGATGCACTTTTCAAAACAGCAGCCTGGTCAACATTGGACCAAGAGCTCGTGCCCGCCTTTCTTCTCCAATAATACGTCTATATGCGCTTTCCGCGCATCCTGCAGATCCCAGCTCGCGATTTGAGAGAACTCAGCAGCACTACATGCTCCATCTGATATGACAAGGAAACCACGAACCACTTGTCAGCACACCTGGTTGTTGGACCAGAAGATTGTTGCTGAAGATGGCGTTATCTCGGAGACCTGGCTCTCTTTCAGGTTGGGTCGCTTGGCCTGTCTGTCATCCACTCATCAGCCTGATATCATAATCCGTCCACTCATCTGCCTGTTTATCCGCCCTCCATCCCTCTATCCATCCATGCGCCCCATTGCATTGATGTGCCTCCACATGACTACAATGTTACTATGCCGGCACACAGCCAGCATCAATATGTGTGTACATCTCTGCATGCATCGATTGCCATCTGATGGTCTGTCGTACTGTCGGTCTGCTTCTCCAGTGATCTATCATCTATCTACATTTGTGTTGATCTGTCTGTCCATCGATCGTTCAACATGGGAGGTCTGCCATCTGCGGACCTGTCTAAACTCGCATATCTAAGACTTATGTGGCTGTCGACTTACCAGCCAATTGCGTCTACCCATCCATGTGCATGCATGCTGCATGCACAGGCACATGCTTGCAGATGGACAGACCGACGGAATCCACCCGTACACACATAGGGTTCATGCACAGCGCACAAGGTGCACGTACATGCATGCGTAGAAAGACAATCGCAAGTGGCTAGGGGTTGAGGCTCTCGGAACGACCTGGCAGCAAGGCCCATGGACTGGCGTGGTCGGTTGAGAAGTCAATGCCGGAGCTACCAGCACATCTGGGCCTTTTGGCAACGCCTCGCCACACCTTCCAGAAATTGTGATGGATCAAATCTTTTGAATATCGAATATCCGTCTCTTCACAGGCCAGGCAGCAGGCCTGAATCCACTCGCCCGTGGTGCCTCTTGGAGAGCGCCGCGCTCACACAGCACACTCATCAACATGCACATGTTTGCTGATGTGACGGCTGTGAAGCGTCAGCCCGTGGCAATTGCACCCAAGAAACGTCACTTCAACTGAGGCCCCGATTCTGGGCTGGCGGACCGGTCGAGCCGGAGGCACGATTCGCACGAAGTCGGTGTGGCGGTTGGGCTGCGGTCAGGCATAGGGTGCAATACAGATTGCTTTCACCCACCTGGATTCTCAATGATTCTCACTTCTCATCATCAAATCATCTTCAAGTTTATCCAAGTCTATCTCTTGCATCGAACTGGAGAAATCGAAACATGCGGTGGCAGGCGACAGGTGCCAGCACAAATTGCACTGTCTCAAGAACCCTTTGCCTTCTGCACGTCGGATGTCGCATCCTTGCACCAATCCTTCCGACGTGACAGGCTGCTAGCTGTCCCCACATCTGGACTCAACATGTTTTTTTTCACGGAAGTCAAGCGTCATGGACAACTGCTGCTGGCTTCTCAGCCTTCGAAGACGAGGAACCGCCTGGACTTCGCTCCTTTGGCCTGGGCGACAGCAATGGAGTCAGGATATGTGCGGATTGAGCATACGGCCAGGCCAGCTGGGGTATGCACGAATCATCCGGTACAGCAGAGGCCTCGCAACAGGTCACGTCACGCGACTGCCAACAGGACGTGGTGCCCACTTGCCCGCCCTCACTCAGCAGTCCTGCTGTCCCATCCAGACGCTGCGAGCTTTCCTCAAATGTGCACCAAGAAATGTCAAAGTGGACAAACAGGCACACAACAGCACGTTGAGGCTTCAGCAGGGCTCTGGAATTCCAGGCAAACGCTTGGACAAACTTGAACTACTGGCAAAATGTTGGTGCGCCTTTCGGCTCAAAAGGGAAGGAACTCTCTACAAATAGGATATACCGGTGGTATTGAACCACTGCCTTGGCGTGATCAGGATCTCGCTGCAAAAGCGTCAAATCAATGCTGCACGACACTACCATGCCGCTATGCCCTTGGTACTGGAATACACGGCAGGCGGCAGTCAAGATACGCGCTCTACTGCAGTGCAGGGCTCGGGCAATGGACTCCACTTTGGATCACTCGGCACCGCCAAGGCTGATGAGGGCCCCATCAAAATTTTTCGCGCGTGCCATACAACGCGTCGAAGTCCCGTCACTTCGGGTCCTCCAGGCCCTCTTCCTTTGGCAAGCCCTGGCACTTGTGTGACAACTACCACCATCGCCCAAGCAACCGGGTGCAACCTTCCCGACAACGAAGCAGGTGATCGCGTGCATGAGGAGACCGGGAGGCCCAATCAAGTTACAGAAGAGCACCTCCAGAAAGGGCTGCTGAATGGAGCTACGGCTCGAATGAAGCTCCGAAGCGTTTCAGCTTTCAGGCCCTCGCAGAGTGCGAGGTGAAGATACCGCGGCGCAGGCCATCAAGGTAGATCCAACCTCGCTAGCTTCACTTGGCAAGACGGCATGCTGGCTGTTGGCTGGGGCGACGACGCCCCACAAAGAGGTCCCAGGCCAGGACGTGTGCCCACTCCTCCGACACGAAGCCTGGACCTTGGAAGTTTATTGAGCCCGGTTAGGGCTAGGGAATGGCACCCGGCAGACAGCTTGTGGAAACAAGATACTCGAATGCAGGCGGATTTTCAACTCTACATTCGACTCTACATCATGGGCCAGCAGTTGATGCAGGCTTGACTAAATTCAACCGAAATCACCTGCCTCGAAGCCTTCTGCTTCCGATCGCATCTACAGTCTGCAGCCATTACGATTTCGGCTGCCTCTTATGTACCGTGGGTGGGCAATGCAAAAACAACAATAGCCTGAAGTTGGTATGCATTGCACCCAGTGAAGCTGATTTGCACTTCGACAGGAAGCTGCTCCAGCAGGTTCCATATGCTGCTAGGTCAAAGCGATACGAGCAAGGCGATGCTCATCACTGCTAGCTGCAGTGGATCTCAGACAAGACTGCCAATGCTACCTAATGCGAATTCTCTACCTGCACAGCAAGTCCGGTGGGAACTCCCTGCCCCGCCCCAACCCTACACGAGCTCCTGCATTTAAGTTTCTCTTCCAAAGTGCTTAGGCTTAGACCTGCCCATGCACAGGAAGAGATTTCGACCGACGGGCTGGGACACACCCTCTTTGCCCTGTTGTTGCAAAACGCGAGGCGCACGGCCTGCTGTTGCAGAAAGAAGCTCACACATGCGACTACTGACTACTGCAAACATTCTACTGCGACTGCTGTTGCCCTTCTACGACGACCACTCTGTGGTTCCACGATTACTGCACATTGTCCAGGATTCTTTCAGATTCGTGGGAGCTGCTGAGGTCTTCAGTCCATCTCCGGCTGAACCTGGGACAAGCTTGTCTCCATCACCCACAGGTA